GATGATTTTCTTATTTTCAGTTTATGATGTTCTTACCGGCGAAGTCAAAGCCAACTTAACTGGACATATATCCTTTACCGCTAAAAACATGATGGTTGTTGACTTTCTTTTTTTAATGCAACTTTGTTTTCATTTAAAAATTGTAACAACTTAATCGGTCTGAGTGAGAAAGCCAAGTGTTGACGGAGAAATCAGTCTATAAATTAAAGGAACCCATGCATCCAAGAATCTTTGCGCGATTTTTAATGTACAAAAACAACAACTTTCCATTAGTGATCATTTGTAAAACGTGATCGCAAAGGTTTTTGGGTACGCGTAGGGCTTTAAAGAGCAGCTGCGCGAGTTAGTTATTTCAGTGAAGTCAAAAGGCCTAAACTTCGTGGTAAAGGCTAATGTCGTCATAAACGTGTATAGTTAACCTTTACAACATCAGTATTTCTTCATAATATCAGACATGCCAACAGTTGGCTTTTTGGTTCAAGTGATACTTGTAGTAAATAGCGGGTCAATTCATTAGGTGTAATAGTCCTTAACATTACGCACAGAGAATGTGTTCGCGACGTATCTTGGCATCCGTATGACAACAAGATCGTTAGTACATCGGTGAGTATTAGAGTGCACGTCACATAAGCATGAAACAATTCTTAATATGTATTGCTAAATAAGATTTAGTTATCAACTAACTAAGAATTCAACAAAGCATAAACACAATGCCAATTATTTAAATTCCTTTGTAGCATTGTTCTCAATTCTTAGTTAGTTGATAACTAAATCTTATTTAGCACTACATAGTTAAGAATTGTTTCAAGCTTATGTGACTTGTACTCTAGTCAGAGCTATGAAAAACTCGACTAATAACCACAAAGAACTAGCTGTGGATTTACCAATCAGATGAAACCCGCCAAACAACTAACTCACTCAGCAATCTATCAATCAGCTAAATAACTAATCTTGCAACAAACAAACAAACAAGTCAATAACCAATCTATCAACTCACCAATCTATACAACCAGCTGAACAACTAATCTTGCAACAAACACAACGAAGTCACTCATCAATCTATCAACCAACTAACACAACCAAACACTAACTCACTAACCAATCTATTGATAAAGTAACCAAACTACCATCCAACTCACTATAACCGAACTAACTCATAAACCAACCAATCAACGAACTAACTAATCTATCAACAAACTAACACAA